TACTAGTAGATAAATGTATTTGAGGGGCACTAGCTGTGAGGCATAAGGATGATTGGTTGAGTGAACATTTTAAAAAGATGAAGAGTCAGTTAAAAATATGATTAGTTTGTATTTTATGTCTTTCTCACATTTTACACATCTGCAAAAAACTCACAAAATATATTGTTTAACTCATTGATGCTTATTTGAGGGTGGGATAGTAATCAGCAGCTTTGAATGAGAAATTGGTGAACCAGGTTCAATGCCTGTTGAGTTTGATTGAGTCATTTTTTATGACTTATCAACCCTTTGCTGGTTATTTAAAGGCAGAAAATATTTTTAGATTGTAAGAATTTTTTTTTTTTTTTTTTTGATTTAATGATTTGGTGATACAAGCCTTACTAATTAACCCATAGTTTGGGGAAGAAGAGGTGGATTCATACCATTCCCAAGATATTTGCACATAAGTGAATATAATGAACCCAACAGGAATTGGAACTCAGCTCTGTGATTTACAATTCCAAGCCATTATCTATTAAACCATCCATACATCCAAGATTACAGCACTTGGTAGTCCCAAGTGGTCACCCATCTAAGTACTGACCAGGCTTGATTTTTCTTAATTTCAGTGAATGTTTGGGAACTGGTATTTCAACATATGGCTGCAAGCTCTCAATCAATGTGTTACATTCATGTTCATGCAAATACCCTCGAGAAAAGGTACAGATCCATCTTTTCTCCTTCCAGCTATGGGATTAAATAGTAGGGCAGACTTCAGCCTTGATTGGCAATCAGTCTAGAATACAGACATCTTAAAACGATTGGGAATGGGACTAGCAAGTTCATCCTGTAAAAAACCTGCATTTTAATATCAGATTTTACAGTGGACATTAGTTTTAACTCCAGCTCTTTTAACCTATTAATTAAAGTATTATTATGTAATTCATTATAGAAGATAACACAGGGAGTTTTAAGGTTTATGACTAAGATAAAAAGGAACCCTCCAGGAATAATTAAAATTTTTTTTTTATTTATTTATGATATGAAAATAATTTTGGCCTCTGGCACTGGACGAATTTTTCTTAAGAAAACTTCTTCAGATTTTATATTATTCCATACAAACTTTTCTAAATTCTTGATGGACAGATAAATTTTTCTTCTATATGCCGTGTTCCTTCAGGCCATAGTTTTTTGTAAAGTTTGTCTTTTTTGCTATCACTTCTAATTTCTGTTCCATCAACCATTTACACAAGCTCATTAGGCAGGGTATATTCTGCTTTCTTCTATCCCCTTTGTCTTCAATATGTCAGTATCTCCTGTGAGTGTTGAATTTTCTAAGCTCCCTTTCCATATATACATTAGTAGGAAAAATATTCCTTCCTGAAGTGATAGCCTAATTAGCAGTTCTTTTTAAATGAAAGATGTCAACTGCTTGTAAATAGATTCATTTGTTTTATCAATACTGAGGAAGCACAACAGAAAAAAACGAATATATTTCTAGGCACACTAACACCTATGTGGGCATATACAAAAAAGAAATGGATGCATAGTATAAGAGCTAGTGAAGTGTTATGACTTAAAATTATTTTGTGCCCTTATTTAATCTTAGCTCCTGTGTTTTTAAAGAAAAGAAGTCTGGTAAAATTTATGTTACCATATTGGCACTTAAGTCTTAAATATCTTCAACCAGAGCAAAAATAATTTTAGATCAAGTGTGGCCAAAATGCAGACTAAAGGGCAATCTCCTAAGTGGAGAAGACCTTTCAGCTTTTAAATGGCCTTAACATAAAAAAAAAAAAAAAATCAACTGCTGGTGTTAGTGGAAAATATTTCAGCCCCTAGGTAAACCTAGCATAGGGCTATAATGTTGAAGGAGAGACTCATCTAATGAGTGAAGACAATGTGGTTACCCATCAACCCTAAAGACTAATCCATAAACTTATTTAGTCAGTTAAAAGACTGAAAACTTTACCTTTCAACGACTCTTCATTTTAAAACTTACAAAAAAAGAACTACAAATACATTAAATGGTATGAGAAATATCTATTCAAATTTAGTAAGACACCAAACCTTACTACTTGTAACACTAGGTCCTTTGTTAATTTCAAAGAATTTGTTTTTTCTCCTCTGAGTTTGTGTTTCTATGCCTGTTACTAATTCCAGAGATTTTTGTTTTTCTTGAAGTGCATTAAGAAAAGAGAAAAGCAATAGTTCATTGATCTTTGTCATTTGCATCAGAAAAAAAATCTGAATTTGGCATATACCTGTTTGTCTATGTGGTTAGGTTTGGTTGATTTTCCTTTTAAGAAAAATTGACCAATAACTCAGTAGTTAGAATGCTGATCTCACTAACCACTGACAATAAACATTATTCTCACCAAATGGTTTTAAAATACAGTTTTCTGCCAAAGTTGAACTTCAATACCTTGAAAAAGTCAACTGAGATAAAATTTGTGTTTTATTCTTAAATACAAAGTTACTGGCTTTGATTGTATTTTGGAATTCAGTTTATTTTCTTTTTAAGATTAGAGTCTGAATGTAAATAATCCAATTAATATCCTTATCTTTGTTATAACTCTTCATCCCTGAAATTCAGAGATTATAACTAGATTTAGAAAAGACCCCAGACTTTTTTTTTTTTTTTAAATTTAAGTCTTGCTTACTATGAAGCATCCTTAATATTAATATCAGTTTCATAAGGATTTTAAAGAAAAGAGCCAAGCTTATGTAATTTCTTGTTTCAACATAAAAAGGGATAAAACTTGGAATACTATTAGTTTTCAAGTTTTGTCTTCTTTAGAAACAAAATGATTGGAATAATGTGCAGAAGCTAAAAGTTAATTTGTCTGTTAAGCTGGTTTTTGCTCAACATAAATTAGCCAATGAAAATCATTTCTGAGAGGAAACCGAGTTTGAAATTGGGTTGTGTGTTTCCATAAATGTGAGAATAAAGTGAATCATTGTAATGAAACTCAACATTGATTTTAAAGTCTGGAAAAAAACAAAATCAATTTGAACTTTGTGAGGGCGGGGGAAACAAAAATATAAGTAGTGAATGACTCCTTTATTTTTAAATGCCATCATCTCCCTTTAGGATGTCGGCAATAATGGTTTGATTAATTTTTTTTTTTATTCTATTGTAATTGCCATAACTTCTTTGGAAAGATTGCCTTCTCCAGTTTTGAATTCAGACTTTCCTAGACAGCCTACCCTTGGGGTAGAGAGAAGAGATGGAGCCATGGCTTTCTTAAAAACATTTGTGTGAAAATGAATGCAACAGACGAGGCTCATCCATGCCACATTTCAATGCTGATTAATGTCATGTTAGCCACACAGCTATCTAATCTTTTATCTATAACTAAATTCAAAGTACTCTTTCAGGTTTCATTGCCCACAAAATACAAAAGACTTTTTAAACCATAGATGCTTTGGTTAAGGAAAAATTACTTCATTTCTAATAAAAGTATATTAACAGAAAAAGTTTTCTAAAATTCTAATATGAGGAGGTGCTGAAAAAATCTGACCAACTTTAATGTTTTTTTTTTTTACCAGCTCCATGGTTGAGTTGATAACTTCAGCATCACCCTCTATACATGGAAAGAAAATTTATTCTTAATTTATGAGAGCTGTTAATTTACATGGAGTGACTTTAAATTCTGGTTAGTCTGTATTCAAATTGCACTAAATCCCTTCATCATTGAGTTCCCAATCACATTTCTGGCATAACAAAAAGCTGCTGCCCCACTTGTCAAACTTAGTAAGGTCCACTAAATCTTAAGGTTGACCCTGCCACTCACCCCCTTATGTTTATATAAGAAATAGAATAACTTATTTGGTAGCAAGTGATACTAATGAGTCAAAGACTTTGCAAGGAGGCAGAAAGTAAGAATTCATTGATATGCTATATCCAAGTCTTAATCCCTAAGTTTTGCAACAATATTGTGCTTTTTAGGGAAACAGAGATTCAGAAAACTGCTTGAAGAAGCAAAAAAATGACAGTTTCTGTTATATATATATATATTTTTTTTTTTTAAGAGGAAAAGCCTTTTGATTGCATATGACTGCTATTTACAGACCCCCACCCCAACAGCATGCAATAAATAAAAATTAAAAACTTAAGGGAAGGACAAAATTAAAATATGGAAAATCATTTTTTATATTTAAAATTTAGCAGTTCTTTAATATGACTCTTTCTAACCCCAAATATTAACCCCCACTAAGTGTTTGTTTTCCATTTCAACAATCCTCTTTTGTGGCCTTTCCAAATTTTAATGTTATCCCAGTGTTAATTTCAGGAAACAAGCTAACATAGAATTATGTCTATCATTGTCTAATTCATGCAAAATGCTGAAGTAACAGTGGCTAAATAAAGAATGCAGGCCAGTGTCCCCTCCTGATTGTTTTATATTTAACCAAAGAAAAAAATATATTGTATTGTAGAAACATCTTAATAGAGCATTGTTTTTTGTAATCTGACAAGGGCTAGAGAAAAACAAATTGTCAATCTAAGATTAGAGAAGAATTCCAATTCTTACAAATAGTAACTTTCAGAAGCATGTGTATGATCATCACATGGTCAGCCTACAATCTTTGAACAGGCATAAGCCAACTATAATACAAAAACATATTAATCATATGCAAGGCAACTGAAACTTCTAATCTTTATACATAGCTGTTTTTTTTATGACAATAAAAAAAAAAAAAAAAATGCTCTCAAAAGTTTAATGATTTTTTTTTACCAAGTTTTAACCAAAATAAAATGACTCAAGTGTCTCTGTTTAGGGGCTTTTGCTTAGTCTGTCAGTTTATTCCATTTACTAAGATGTGTGTTTGAAAGCCTGGACGCAGCCAAGAGTGTTCAAGTGGGTAGAAATGCTACCCTGGTTGGATAAACCAAGTAGTTCAAGTCCATTTCACTGGTCAGCAGGAATGGCAATTTGACCAGAGCCACAATCACACCAGGCTGACATTCGCAACAATCACAAACAACAGCAAGAAACATTCATAACTATGCGTTAATATCACCGACGGCTAAACAGAGACGGCATCCATGGAGTAGACTTCTTTTTCTTTTCTTTTTCTTCAAGGAGCCGGACTTGCTTCTCTTGTTCTTCCTTAAATAAAAAATAAAATAAAACATTATGAGAGAGAGAGAGAGAGAGAGAGAAAAAAAATCTAAAAATTTCCTTGACACAACAAAAGTCGGAATGTGCCAGAGTCAAGATTAATAGAAACAGACTTTAAAAAAAAAAAAAAAAAAGTTTTTTTTTTTTTTTTTTTTTAAAAGATTTGCATGATTATTGGTTTATAGAAAACATGATTTTGGCAAAAGTTAGACTTTTTACTCAATTTTTCAATTTAAATTTTATACACTGATTTGTTTGAATATATCTTCATTTCTGTTTTAGTTTCTGAGATCAAGTGTTATCATTATTTACATTTGAACTAAAATCCACATCTTTGTTGTAAATATCAATAAGATTTTGGCTGGTGTGCACTTCAACCTTCTTCAAGTAACCTTGAGAGAATCTTGAACTGGACCTTTTATTTAATCTTTGAATATAGGTTCTCTTTCTACTGACCATGTCTGAGGAATATGAAATCTTTGTTTCTTTTGTAACTGTTCAATTTCCACTGAATCTGAACTAAGCAGCCCAGAGGATTAAAGTGTAGCAAATTATAATTGCAACACTTGAACTTGCTTTGTGAATTTGATGGTATAGTAATTAATTACTATACCATCAAATTCACAATGCAAGTTCAATACCTGAGCCCAGTAAGTACAGAATCAACTTTAGTATGGGAAAAAAAATGCTGATATTCTTAGATAATCTATCCTGATAGATTAGATTCCCTGAAGGTTACTTGGATCAATAGAGATGTAAAGGTGACCAGAGGGCAAACAGTATCTGTAATGTTTCAGCTTTGTGAGCTAAACACAAAGGTGACAATCCTGAAAAATACCAAAAAATAATCAGCATTAGAAATGCCCTACAGATCAACATCTACCAACTTCCACAAACAGGAATAAAAGAGTTGAAGACAATAGTCTGGAAAATATCCATTGTCAGTCTATTTTACAGGAGAGATAAAATCAAAATATTTTTAAAATTTGCAATTCATACTTCAGAACAGTTTCATCTTTTGGAAGACTTCACTCCTGAAGAGAACATGACCAAGAATTGCATATACCCCATTCCATGCATATGTGGCAAAGAATATAAAAGTGAGACAATCACATCAAGTATGGCTTATGTGGAGAGAAAAGGGACAACATACCAATTCCTGTGCAATGAAGTTAGAAGCTCTAATAACCTCCTAAGTAGGCCTAGCATAGAAATGAATCCCATACAGGAGATTTTTTAATTAAGAACATTATCCCTAGGACTGAAAAATACTACTTTACTTACACTAATAATGTGTAGGTGAAATCATATACTCTTGTTTAGCGGAAGAGGCAGACAAGCAGTATTAGCTTTAAAGCTTCAACTTGCCACCAACAAATTGTCCTAAAAGGTATTAGCTAAATGAATTAAGTTACTATGAATTGGACAGTGGTTGAAAACAGTCATATACTCTGATTCAATGGAAGAGACAAATGTTATCACAAAGATGAGCTAACTAGACAGAATTAAATGATACAAGATATCCTTTAACCTGGACAGTGGAATGAGAACAATCCACCCACTATGGATTAAATAAAGGGTTTGGTTCAAAATTCCTGGAAGGTTGTCAACTGTGACAGACACTTTAAGATGGTCTAGAGTATACAACACCCGAAATACCAATACTGAAATAATGACCAAGATGAAGACACCAGTCTAAACAAAATGGTGGTGGCAGTGGTGACATTGTTGTTGTACTACTACTAATAATTATAATCATCATTGCAAAAAACAAAAAAGTCAGATAAAAAAAAATATTTTTTTTTTTTTTTTTTTTTTTAATATTACTAAAGAACCCAAACACCATTCCTTGGAAATCATTTCCTGCAGACTAATGTGTGTACATATTTCATGATAAGTTGTGTTTTTCTTGATGGTGACTAAACAGATTTATTGTACTATTTATTCTGGTTTGGAAGTAAAATAGTTTTAGCAGTTTTAGAAACAACTTTTGGTACACTTGGTCTTTTTTTTTTTTTGTACTGCTCAGTTATTGATATTCTTATTTCCACTGAGATTGAGTATGTTCATAGTGCCCAGCCCAGGGATTGAACTCTTAATTAATATTTTAACAAATTCATGAACCAATGTTTTAATCCTCAAAGCTACTGTAAAGTTTTGGAACCATGGCGTATGCCCCCGCCCCCCGGCCATATTACTAACAATTCTTTTTTGTCTGCTCTCTGCACATATCTTTCTTCAAATGTAAGACAATAAAAGCTGAGAAAGAAAGAAAGAATGAGAAAGACAGAAAAAAAAAAGAACCACTAACTACAATATCTACTGATATAAAAATTGAAAAATGTTCCGAAAACAGGTGATATATATATCATTATAGATTTTTATATATATATAATTGATGGTGGTGGGCCATGAATTTTTCATCACCTCTTTTATAAAACTTATATCCTGATTCAACTTTATCATATATCTATATTGCTATCACCCATTACTGAAATGCCTTCTTTGTGACAATATCTTTATAATGTTTATTAAAATGATTATCCAAATCAAATCCCTCATCACAAAAACAGAATATGCCATACTTTTCCTATATTTAATGCATTCACCTATTATAACTGTGGAAGATACTGAACATAAATAAAATAGCAACAAGACTTTGCTGTATGAGGAACGAGATGATGATGATGATGATTTTCAACATATTTTTTTTGAGAACACGGTATGCGTAAACACAAGTTCAAGCAATGATGAGCCATGATGATAAAGCCAAGCTAAGTTTTGTACCATCTGTGTAGGTTACTCTACTGATAGGAGAATGTGCAGACCACAATGGCAAGGCTGTAAACATTGACACGCCATACTGCTTACTGCAGGAGATATAAAACCCACCCATATAGAGTTGCTGAATCTACAAGCAGTGTTTTCTGTGGAGCTGTCAGAAAATTGCCTTTTTAGTACAACAGTTCTTAGGTATATACTAATTAATATATTTATTGGGTCCTGTAACGAGTTTACATGATAAAAACAAAAGGATTCCTTTTTATTATTTTAACTTTATTGAATAAAGTATTTACTGTTTTCTTCCAAAGTCTTTAACATTTTTCAGGCAACTTCATAATTCTAACCTCCTTGAAACAGGGTGTTGGTGGGGTTTCAAATGATTTGATTTGAGTTTGTTGGCTACACATATAATGTTGTAGTTAAATGAAGTTCTATTCCTCAGATGCTGCTCGTACAACACTGAATGCTCCTTCTAAAGGCACTGTTTCCGAATTCACGCACATGTCACCAACATAAAAATTTCCATCCATCTCTCACTGCTCCAGCCTTTTTTTATTATGCCAGTACCACAGTCAACTAACCAATCAGCATATTTGGCTTTGTCTTCAGTCACACCTCTAGTTCAACCAATCTGCATGCAGATTGCTATTGGTCAACCTGTGCTAAGCTATATAAAAGCCAACCTTTTAGAATCATACACTTCCGTAATAACTAAAGAGTGGTGGAAGATTTATGCCATTTTCAAAGGAACAAAACGTTGCTACGTGTCGCGTATTGAGGTAAGGAAGTTATTTTCCTTTACACCAGATGTATGCCACTCTGACTCATTTACTTTTGCATAATTGTTCACTACCCCACCCCCATCTCAAAAATACAGTTGGGAGCAGGTCTCGTTTCCCAGGTACTCCTCTGAAGCAGAACAACACAAGTTTTGTTCTCAGAAGAACTGCCACCAGGGGAGCTATCAGGTCATACTGCATTAATATTTTGGCTGCCAGTAGTTGGAGAATCATCCAGTGAGGTTGTTCCATCTTCAAGGATCCATTATAGGGAAAGTCATCAGTTTTTTCCTTGTGGTGTTGGTGTCATATTTACTAACTGCTCACTCTTCAGAATCACTGTCATGTCCAGAGGTCCTTCACGTGACGCAGAGTTCCATCAATATCTACTGACTGGACTATTAACCTGAATCATGTGGCCTACATAAACTTAGTCATACACCTTCTGTGAGGAGTTTTAACCCAAACAATGTCTCCCACTTTGTATGCTCCTCAAGTATCCTGAGGTTCAGAGGGGGCGTGGCATTGACGCCCTATATTCGGGTATGGTACTTATGAGCTGGTGCCATAGTTGGTCAGTGGTTATCTTTAGGTGTGACATTATACCAGTAGACTGCCTCCAGTACCGAGCACTGCTTTCTGGCCACAATGGTTTTGATGCTTCGGTGACTTCTTTCTATTATGCCATTCCCAGTGGGTATATAAGCACATCAAAACTGCAAACATATGCACCAATTACTCAAAAAGTCCTTGAAATGCTTGCATGTGAACATTGTGTCATTGTTGGTCAATAGCTCAAGTGGTGGACCCCATTTATAAAAAATTGACTCCAACTGGCAAGCTACACTAGAATCTTGTCGATGTAGTGGTCATCATATTGTGAACTGAGAGGGTCTGCAATCAATGATCTTCAGAAAATGTCTACTACCATAGTGGGTGATGTACATTACTACCCTGCTCCAGTTGTCTCTCACTTCCAGCTTTCATTTTTGTCAATACACTGGTGCTGGGTCAATGGATTGACAAACCTCACATTCCTTTATGACTAACTTCTGTCAATACTGAAGGGTTTACTAACCTGACAAAATACAGGGTTCTTTTTATGCCAGAGTATCTGGTTTGTCAGTGGATATTAGCCACCTGACTTGCGTCCAACTTGGTCTTTGTAGTGGCACACACTAACTGTACTGGTTCAATTCCCTCTTTGTGTAGCTTTAAACACCTCTCTCTGGCAATTGGGTAAGATGGTTAGCCGAATTCAGATTGAACTTAACCAGTGTTATGTCCATCGTCAAAGCTGTATTCAGCCAAAAGCTTGTAAAGTGTCTCCAACCGTCTCAACACTAGCATTTCACCAGATATCTTCATATTTATTTGTGCCTTACCAGTTGAGGTGTTTGAAATCCATTGGTGGACACATGCAGA